CCAAAACTCATCTGTATTGGGATGGAAATCTGGGAAAGGGGACCTAGACCTAAGACAAAGCAAAAGACAAGGCCGAATGGCCTAAGACTATCACACAGAGACCACTGGTGACAGACTCAGGGATCGACTCCTAGGGGACACAACACTCACAAACAAAACGCACACAAGTTACAAGTCACAGGATCAAGTCAAGGCTCAAAACAAACAAACAACGGACAAACAAGCAACACAACAGACAAAGGTTGCGGGATCAAGTCCCGACCACGACAACAGGGACAAAATGAATATACAGCCCGCTTGTAGCACCGCAATTCATTGCATAGAGATCTACTTCCGGTAGGTACTGTGCGGACCAAAATGAAGATCCACCAGGATAAGACCGGTAGGAATAGTGGAAGGCCATGGAAGTCAGTAGGTAGGATGTCGCCATGTGTCCAGTCCCGGTTCCATTACAGCCAGTCCCAAGGCCCTGGAAGTCAGCAGGTAGGACATCGCCACGTGTCCAGTCCTCGTTCCATTGCAGATCAGTCCCAGGGAAAGGCCACGACAAACTGAATCTCTGTCGGCCGCTGCAGGGCTTGGCAGAGAGAGTCTGGAATCACGAGGGAGGCAGAGGCACAAGCACAAAAGGGAGGCCAACGCCTGGAACCTCCTCTTCTTCTTCTTCTTCTTCTTCTTCTTCTTCTTCTTCTTCTACTACTACTACTACTACTACTACTACTTTTAATTCAAACCGGCCCAGTGCCCAAGGCTGATATTACGAATAAGACGATTGAGGCCGGGGTCCTCACAGTCTACCCGGAGTGACCGAACCGAACTTGCTGAGAACTGGGCTCAGCGTTCCTCATATGATGATGATGATGATGATGATGATGATGAACTTCTGCTGATTCTATGTAAAATGTGAGATAATCATACTAATGATGATGATGCTAATGATGATGATGATTGCTATATAAAAAATATAGAAGACTGTTATGATTCTGGTTGTTTGTTGTCTGAAGACCAACACTCACTCACATAGACTTCCAGGTATGCCCATACATACACAGAAGGAAGGGGAGAGGGTAGGTGTTGCATACTCGTGAAACACAGTCATAAGTATGGCGCAGATTCCCAAAACCGACCAGATAATACAGAGTTGATACCAATTGCAAGTGGAAGACTTGAGATACATGGACTGACCCTGACGTGACTCGGACTGTAATCGAACACTCTCAACCATACATCAGGGGTGTGAAAGCCCTGGCCGTAGACATAGACGAAGGCCAGGGTCTGAGATCATCCACGGACGAATGGGGGGAGGAGAGAGACGAAGGGACGAGGAGAGGGAAGATGACGTCAACTCAATGTCTCCAAAGATAGTATCTTGAAATGTCAGAAGTGACGAAAATCCGAAATGTCGTGAATACAATGTCTCACAATGTCTCCGATATCGATTTCACAATGTCAAGTGCATCTCCAGAAGGAAGATGAAATCAAATCCCCCAAGTAGTCCTCAACCTATAGTCCCAATGCCGTTGTTCTTAATGTCATCAGAATTCGTAACCATCCTTCATACTAATAGTAGCCCGGTAGGAGAACCCAGGAGTAGACTTAGACTGAGAAGATAGGAGGAGGGAGAGAGAGAGAGAGAGAGAGAGAGAGAGAGAGAGAGAGAGAGAGAGAGAGAGAGAGAGAGAGAGAGAG